CAGCTGTAAGTTCTCACAACAAACTTTCCAGGAATAACAGGAAAACAAAAATCACCTGCTCAAAGGACCTAACCATGCCTTTTTCTCAGTTAGTTGTGTCATTGTTATTTACAAGAAGTAAAATGGTTTCCAAGAATATAAGTGAATGCAATTTTTCCTTTGTACATAGCTCCCAGGACAATTATTTTTGATAGGCAAGTGCATTTATGAAATATGGGATCCCAAGATAAAAATCTCTATCTTGCCCAAGTTAATGACAGAAATATTCTGGATTTTAGTGGACAGTTGTGGGAGAAGGGATTATTTCTTTGTTATAAATTAAATAAATCCACCTGATACAGACTCATATTTGATTCAGAACATGTTATATGGACCACAGGATGCTATTTAAAGAATTACTGATGAAATAATAATTTAAAAACATTGTATATCCCCTTTTTTTTTTTTTTTTTGCAAAATAGGTAATGAAGTAAAAGAACCAGAGAAATAATCCCTTAAAAAACACCCAAACATTAAGAATATTTCTAAGCATCTATTTTTACAGTACTTGTATTAACCACATGTTTAACCTACTGCTTTGCAGACCTTCATATCCACACAGAACAATACCATGTGTGACAATGACCATAAACTACCTCAGAGTAGCATATGTGGAAATTACATGGCAGATTCGTTGCCATTACAAACATCAAATGACATCTAGATAAGCTTCTTTGTCACCCACTGTGCTTTATGCTTCATAAAGATTATGCAGACAGCCACATCAATTCAATAAATAGGTAGAGGTATATAGTCACAGAGAGCCTGTCTGCACTACAAGAAAGCACTAGCTTTTGGTAAAACAGTTAATTTAAGACACAGAGCCTTGCTGAAAGATTTTTTCCATGTCTACATGTAGATCTTGAGGAGATCATCCTCATATCACACTTTTAATCACACTTTTATAGCATTTAACCAACGGATTCTACCATGGTGGTTTCTGCAGAGGGGAACTTTTTTGTTTGGGGTGTGTGTGTGTGTGTGTGTTGTTTGGTTTTGGTTTGTTTTGTTGGTTGGGTTTTTTTTAACTGAAAAACAGCAAATACTTGTAAGACTCCAACGGTATTTTGTACTGATGGAGTGCAGTCTCTTCTTTAATTCCAGTGAAGTTAGTGCAGAAAATCTTTAAAACAGGTTACCTTCCAACCCACAATCATACTCAAATGCTATTGTAAATCCCTTCCAAAAATCATGTCCAATATTGGTTCTGTTCAGGTGTGACAGTGGTACATAAACAGATGGCTGTTTAAACTGGAGTTGCATTCTTATCTTACTTATTGTGTTGCCAACCTGGTGTTGTCCTGAAAACACTAAGGTAGAACAAGATCTTGATCATAACACCAATTTCTGTATTAATTATTCATTTATGCTTCATAAGGATTATGCAGACAGCAGTATCAATTGAATAAATGAGCACAGATACACAGGCAGGTGGAAGAGACTTCAAGGCTGACCAACTCACTGTAGAATCTGGGCAGTTTGCAGGACTAGATCCCTAATGAAGTCATTCAGAACTTTGACTGAAGAAAATAGAAATTTAATTTTGACATCTAGGTGTACAATGTTGAGAAACGTTCATGGATCCCACACTGAAACAGTTATGAACAAGAAACACTTTATGCTGGCAAATCAGCTGTCACTGTAAAATAGGAGTGCCTTAACAGGTGGTGTGAATTTTTGGCAGTGTTGGGCCTGGACAGCTTCTGGACATCCAGTCACTGGGTTGCAGCTTCTCTCAGCTGTTCTCTCAGCACTTCTGTTTAAGATTTGCAAACTCCACATACGTGGCGTAAGGGGCCATTCTTCTTCTATCTTATTCCTCTCTTTTCTCTACAGGCACAGCTGTTGCCTTATAACCAGAGAGCACATCTGTGTGCAAGTATCCTGAAACTGTTTACCCAAGCAGTTATGTAGAAAGCTGTCTTGGTATAAGTATAACCAACTTTCACAGCCAGCCTCCACAGAAAGCACCAAACAACTGAAACCTCTCCTATTACCTCTGGAACTGAGCTGCCATTGACCGCACAGTTATTCAACCATTTGAATAATGAACAGCCCAGCACATGTAAGACAGCGGGAGCTGTGAGGTGTCTTATTCCTGAGGGGAAAAAACACAATTTTTTTTGGAAATTCCTTCCAAGAAAAACACATTGATAGGGGCAAGGAAATAAAAGAATCAGGTATATTTTAAGACCATATACAAATGTCATTACAGGATACCAGCCCTTAGCTCTACACATAAATTTATTCCTTCCAGATGCTGATGCCAACTTTAGAACTGAAATATTCTCAGTAGGGCAATAGGGCTTTCAAAAGTTTACTCTTTTCTCCGTACCTGGACTCATGGGGCAGTAGTCTTTGCTGCTGCTGCTCTCACTTTGCAGAGCACACTAGAGTGCTCTTACAGCTCCCAAAGACAGGCAGAGCTTTTTCCTTTCCAGTGTGGGAGTTACACTATGTTGGCCATGAATCCATAAAAAAAGAAAAAGAAAGAAAGAAAAAAAGAAAAAAAAGAAAAAAGAGAAAGAAAAACAGGAAAAGGAGTAATGTACTGAGTAATGTACTGAACAGAGATCAGCCTCTTGCCCTTCCTTGGTCTCTTGATTTGAAATCTCAGATCAGTGAATCTGGGCATCTTTGTACATTGTAAGCACCCAGACCCATCAAGATCCTGCACATGTTCTTTTAGATTGCTCTGTCTTATTCTTCTCAATTAGGAGAAGCTTGCCTGTTTTGAGTACTGTCATCAGAAATAAAAGCATCTGGTGACTCCTCTGGGACAGATTATACTGTGGAGTCAGCTTCGTATCTCAGGATACCTGTTTCATTTGAGCTCAGAATTTGCGTCATAATTTGCTCTGGCAAGATTGCTGGTTTTGTCAGTAGAGGGCACTGTAGGTACGTATAAACATGTCTTCTCATCGTGTACACCCGTAGAAGCAAATGTTAAGAGGTGGGCAGCACTATTGTCAAAACCGAATCTTAAATGCAGACAGTTTTGTTCACAGTGAGAGAAGCTCACACTAAAAAGCACTAAGAAGCAAAAGATGTTGCAAATATATGGTTATGATCAAATACTGATTCTGACTGTAGCTAGGACTTAACACCTTAGGACAAGACATTAGTAGCAGGACACTGTAACTCCTACTTTTCTTGCTTTTGCTCATTAGTATCTCACTTTTTCCCTTCATGATGTCACATAATATTAACATTTTAGTAATTTTTAATATGTATTTTTTACCATTTTCTCTACCATTATTTTCTGTCCAAGTCCTTACTCTCTAACAAGATACTGTTATACACAAAAACATATAACAGAAGAACAGTAAAGGAAAAAGGGAATGAGTGAGAAGCAAATAGTACAGAACACGGAAAAATAGACAAGACAAAATGTGCTGAGCCTTCTGTTACACAGCCATGAGCATGGCAGTGCCATTGTGAGCACAAGACGGATACAAAACAATGTTGAAACATGTAACAGAAATGAACTGAAATTTCATGAACTCTAACTGCACAAAAGATTTGAACAAACAACGATTATATGAAGTAATCTCTTAAAACCCATTCCAGCCCTCCCTTTTTATTTTTTAATGACCCAGACAACAGGAAAGATTAATATCTCATTGCTTTCTCCCTCTTTATTTTTTTGTTCTAGGTTTGGACCTTCTCTCAGCAATACGGTAAAAAGGTTATTGCATTTTCACTCCTTCCTGGGCTTCTTTAGACATTCACACTTCTAGCAATACTGGAGAATTTTCATGTAGGTTTCCTGCAGCTCCACTATATTTAAATTGCTATGTTTCTCCTATCTAGTTTCAAGATTTATAAGAGCAGATATAGACTGCCCCAGCTTTGTTAGCCAGGGATCTCTTACAGCAATGGCTATATATATCTGAGAAGGTCCTTACACTCCAAGTAATGGTGAAAGATAGCCTGTAAAACATATATCCACTTCAGCAATTAGGCTGCCACTTTACAACTACTTCTACTTTTTGTATTAAATTCTATGCATAAGCAAATTAGCCTTTTTCTTCTGGCATGGAAAGGCAAACTTGTAATACTAACAGCATCTGAAAGCCACTGGTACTCTTGCTGGTATTGCTGCATTAGAAAAAATGGAAATGGTGTGTTGATGTAGTTGTATGATCTCTCTGCATGCTGTGTTGCTATTAGAGAAGGAATATCCCCATCCTGGTCTTTGCAAAATGGCCAGGCAGCGTTGCCTCTTCAGTGCCAGAGACAGAGTTTCTGGAATCTGAAGAGTTTTGCAAGATGGAATAAACCACCTTTAACATCCTGCTGATTGCCATTACAGGCCTGTGATACAGAGGATCAAAACACTGATGAATTCCCTGGCTTTGCTGAAATCAGATCATAAAAATCCACTTATATGAAGAGATGTGCAATATCTTCCCTGTTTGTGATTAATGTGTTCAATGTAAGCTTTCCACTCAGGAATTTCAGCAGATTATCAGAAAAATCCCATACCAGGGTATGTGTGGGCTGGTGCCTCCACAAAGTTAATATTAGCATTCCCCTTAGAAGATGAGAGCTTTAGGAACTGAGCACGCTGTGTGTCTGTGTATACTACTACAGAGAAGTCTATGCGTACCATAGGCACAGGAGAAGCAGTAACTTTCACAGCTTCCATGCATGTGCAGCATCACCAGTACTGAGCAGCAAGGATGTTGTGCAGCAGACAAATAAAACCTCAGCACAGGTAGACTCAGTCCTTCAAGTGTGATTGCACAGTTCAGCAGAGGTCATTCCTCAGCATTAAGATCCACCCTTTGTATTTGTATTCTTTTCTTTTCTTTTCTTTCTTTCTTTCTTTCTTTCTTTCTTTCTTTCTTTCTTTCTTTCTTTCTTTCTTTCTTTCTTTCTTTCTTTCTTTCTTTCTTTCTTTCTTTC